ATCTTTCAACCTGTATTTTCTCATATATTTGTTTTTTTTCTTTAAAAACCTCTAGTAAATCGTTTATATGCACATTTCGTTCGAATACATTTTGTGCTTTGCACTTGCTGATTACGTAAATTAATGACTATGTAAAATAAGTATAATAAGAATGCACATTGATTGGAAGTGGATCTTGTATTTATTTATTTATTTTTTTTTAATTACTTGTCGATTTTGTACATCTATTCAAATATTTCTTACAAAAAGGAATTTATTCTTTAAAAATAGTCGAATCTAAGTTTAAAGAGACCTTGAAACTTTATAACTCGTAACGTGTCATTTTAATTATTTATTTTCATGATAATTTTGAATCAAATAGCTTTTTAATCTTCTATAACTTGACTTTTTTATTTGTAAAAGAAAAAAGAAAAAAGAAAAAAGAAAAAAGAAAAAAGAAAAAAGAAAAAAGAAAAGAGAAAAAAGAAAAGATATATATATATATAACGTAACATAAACTTATAATATAATTTATATTTAGCAAATCGTAATCTTTCAATATGAACGAATTTTGTAAAAAAAAAAAAAAAAAAAAAAAATAGATACATATGAACGTGTAATTTCAATATCATATACCGTTATGAAGGGTTAATGAGACTTGGTCAGTCGGTCATCAATCAATAGCTTTCACTATAAAAAATGTGTACTCGTTCATGATATCACAAACACGATTTCTCGAGATTCTTTTTTTATTCTCAAATATTCTTCCAATCAATAGATATCCTTCAATTTTTTTGCGTTTTGATAACTAGAAAAAAGTCCAAGAAATGTCAAAATGATATAATCTTCTATGTTAGAGATGTTTACGAAATAAAGAGAGAAAGAAAAAGAGAAAGAGAAAGAGAAAGAGAAAGAGAAAGAGAAAGAGAAATATATAAAACATAACATAAGATCACAATTACAGATTCCCTATTATATATATATTTCATATTAATTATTTAGATAGTTTCATGGAAAGTTCTGACTCACGAACACGCACTTCTTTCACGTACTCGATAAATTCCTCCAAAGTTCGATAATATTCTTATTTAGAGAGAGGAAGAACAAGAAATCAAATCCTTTCATTTTAAAGCATTAATAATAATTTTATATAATATGAGAAAACAAAAGTAATAAGAAAAATTTATTCGATCAGATTCATTGTCACAATAAACCATTTTTTATGTAACAATATCGAAATAAGCTTGAATGATCGTATTATTTGTATGTACAGTTTTATCAGCTCGAAAAAAAAAGAAAAAAATATAGGGAAAGAAAAATAATATCGATTTCCTGGAGAAAAAATGATTCGGAGAAGAGACTAAATATTGTAAGACTATTAATTTTAATATAGAAAAAAATTCGATTTTTTAACCTCGTTTTACATATTATAATTTTACGATAAGTCACTATTTGGTCTTATTTTCTTCATTTTTTTCGACTATGAATTCAAATGCAAATATAAGGAACATATAAATTGGCGTTAATTATTACTGAAACTAGGAAGTGAATTTTCAAATCCTAATGTTATATTGTTACCTTAACACACCAAATTCTATTAGCTGAACTTTAATTGACATTTATTTCTAAAATCGCATTTTATTTTTCCTTGTCACACACACACACACACACACACACACACAGAATATTTAAAACCCTGGGAAATTATATGACGAAAAATTTAGATATAAAGAATTTGCTTGATTTCAGAAATGTCTACTTTTTTAACGAAATTAGAGTAACGTATAGGATTACTTGCTTAATCAAACGATTTAATTCTAATATTAATGATATGCAAAACTATAACTTAAAAATTTCGGATATGCAAAAATTGTATACATCTATTACCGAGTTGAATGCTTAACTCATGAACATATTATTATACACCTGTACATACATCGCAATACAATTACTTCTTCGTTGAAACACACTTCGAAAAAAATTTATGGATATATGTAGATTATGTTGTTGAAGAAACTTAAGTATTTATTGTATGACAATATATATATAAATATATATATATTTATAAATATATAAGGCACTTCTTTGAAAATTTGTATCTATTTTATCGAAAAAAAAGACGGATATATTTTGATAACTGAAGTATTAATCTCATTTTCTAGTTAAATGATTTATTTTATCAAAACCTTGACCTCTAAAATAATAAGCGTGAATATGTCAAGTACTTAGATAGATTTAGACACATCTGATATATTTGTTTACTTTTTGTCACTATTTTTTACATATTTATATATTTACATCATCAATATAAAAATGTATTATTTAGTTATAAAATAAATTATTTCTGATATAAGATGTCATATCCATCCAGAATATACGCATATTATAAGATAAAATAAATATTATATGTTTTTTCCTATGCTTTTATTTTTACGTAAAGATCGTTTACAATGATCAAAAATTAATTTTTCTTTCTTTGTTAAATATATCCGAATTTATTTCATGTTTATTCTTTCTTTAGTCAGTTTAAATTCAATTGATTCTGAACATTATCCGAGATTCCAAATCGAAAATAACATAATTAATGTTTTTCATGAAATAGTGCCAAAAGACCAAAGAGAAAAACATTTTATTCGTAAAATATATACTGAATTATATTTTCCAATTAAGGAAAAAATTTCCGTTACCAATTAAAAAATTTGTTCACCAAAAATGGAATTTTGTTTCAAATTGTATGAAAAAAAGAAAAAAAATTATGTAAAATAATTGATCGACAACTTAATGATCATAAGATAATGAAATATTTTAAAGGTAATATTTCGAAGGTTTTTATAAATATTACCGAAAGATATAAGTTAACACAATCTTATTTTAAAGAATATTTTAATTCTATATTCTTAACAATTAAAGAAGTTAGAAATATTGAAGCAGAAAAATTATGCAAACGAATTAACATGATTGTTCTATCAGTTTGTTATTATCAATTGATAATATTCATATTTACTTCTCCACCGTTTCGAACAATCCTCCAAAATCCGTCTAAGTATATATATCGTTTTAGAGTTATAAATAAATGCATATATTAAGAAATTATCGAATCATAAAGCCATTTACGTAAATACATTCGTTTCGAAGAAAAAATAAAGAAGAAAACGTAAAAAAATGACATTCTAATTACTTAATTAGTTTGTTTTTTTTTTATTTTGATATTTATGATTATGGTTTCTTTTAATGAAAGAATACTTTATTACAATACATATAAAGATAAAAAAAATAAAGTTATTATATTTTATTTAATTATATATATTGTAAACTTCTATTTAATTTATTATTATTTCTATTGAATTATTATTCTTCCTATTTGTTCTCTAAATATAAATCAATCTAAATGTTATAAGGAAACAAATATTATCTATGAAATTGATAACATTATATCAATAAATATTTGTTCTATCAAAAGTATTGCTCATTAGTAAACTATAATTTCAACATTGAACATTAAATCTTGATAAATTTTATATTTTCTGTATAAGATTATATTATAATCAATATATATATATATATATATATATATATATATATATATATATATATATATATATAGAAAAAATTTATGAGCATAGATAAAATATCTTTCGCTGACTTATTAAGGTTTATGCAAAACAATTTACAAACATTTTGATCTCCCAATTTCCCTCACTATTCATTACTATATCAATATCATTAAAATTCAAACAATGTATATACTGACTTATACACATATACGAATTAAATAACTGAACTTCCAACCCGTATACTGCCTGACGGATACAGGTTAATCATATTTGCACATATCGTATGTTGTAGATAAAATAACATATGATAGTCAAACTATCAGCATGATAATCATCAGTATAATCAAAACACACATGAACGAAATAAACGGCAATGAACCAATGAAAGTTCGTTGATTATTTTGATTAATAGTATGATCCCCAAGCCGATTTATCGGTCACATAAGAAAGGTTAGGAAATCTTGACGAAAAATAGAAACAGAATTAAATAGGATTACTTACGAAATACAATTAATATCAACAAGTACAAATGTACAACAGATGTTTAATGTAACTCTCCAACTCGAGAGACAAAAAAATAAGTTCTTTCTTCAATGTATGCTTGCCAATACTTGCTTCTACAAAAATTAGTTTAAACTGTTTCTTCCTTCTCTCTCTCTTTACAGCAACGCTACCACACGCCGGCATTCAAATAAATTTCACGCCATTTCGTGTCTGTGTAACTTTGAATCTTGCTTGGTTTTAACGAAAATCATTGTAATAACGATGGTATTAGATGCATGAATATCGCTATATATACGTTTTATTACATAATGTTAAATATGTCAAATATGTATAAACAATTGTTTATATATTTCTGATGAGATTGGTAACACTTAAATCGTTATGACGCAACTAGTCATGACATTAACGTCATATCGTACGATCCTTCGTATAGACCGTGTAATCGGGAGCGATATAAAGCTTATTGACTTGAAAATGAGATCTATTTTTTAACACGATTTTTTTTCGAAGAAAATAAAGCTTTTTCAAAACTTTGCCAGAACAGTGTCGTAGATTAAACCTTCGCCTTTAAAATGAGATTTTTTCATTAAAATCGGTCAAGAATTATTCATGATGTACTGTTCTCATTGATGGCATAAACAATTAAAAAACAGCTTTAAAAATCTCAATAGTACTTATATAAGTTATTATTTGCTTCTTATTGATGTTTTCTTTATAAAAGTTTTTTAACGTTGATAAAAAAGAATTTTTACAAAAAATAAAATTTAATCACATAGGTATTTTTAATATATCATATATTTAAGCATTTGCATTTAAAAGAAATTCATTTTATACTCAATTACATGTATATTAAAAACATATATGTATTAATTATAAAACTATATTATATATTAATTAATAGATTCATATCTTTTTATTTTTATAGCAAACTAAAGAAATAACATACGATTTATCATTTGTTTAATTAACGTTTCTGTTAAGGAAATACTACCTCTGAATAAGATTTAGTCTTATAGTAATATCTAGATAAGGATAATTTCTTAAATAGTTCCTATATAATTACATAGTCTCTGATCACTTATAAAAATGTAATATGAAAGTCATTTGTTCATTATTTAACAGTTTTATAAAAGCACTATAAATGCATATTAATATATTCTGGACGTTTGAATCTTTACAATTTTACTCATTGGACATAGTTTTAGCGTAATTTATCCATGAGTGTATTGATAACTTATTTATGAAAATTATATTTCATTCCGTTTAGTGTATAAAAATCTATCACTGCTCTATTCACTTTATTCATCATTCAAAATTTTTGAACTTGTAACAAAAAATCTATTTTTTTTTGTATAAACTTAAAGCAGAAATATATCTAATTTGTTAACCCTAAAATTACACTCTACCTTCAAATTTTGCTATAGTATCATGCACACTTTCTATTACACTATATATATAAGGCCGCTCCATTGGATTAACTTTTAACATGGAGAGAATTAAATTTTGCATATCCTAAAAAGTAAAATTTTATATAATTATAAATTGTACTAAATTATTATATCATATATAAAAATGTTTACACACATACTTCGTTATAAGGTGCTTCTTCTGGAAATGTAATATTCGCACTTATAACAGCAAGTGCCACACTATCTCCTCTTTCATAAACGGTATCAAAAGGAGACTTAAAGTAACATAAAGCATATAGAATACAACCCAAAGACTAAAACAAATTAAAATGAATAGATCACTCAATTTTTGGTGATAAATAAATTAATTACTTAGATACATAACTAAACATTTACCCAAATATCTGTTCGTTCATCAATCATACAATAGCTTTCAACATTGAATAGCTCTGGTGCTCTATAGGGCATTGAACATCTTTCAGCTGCTATATCTTGCAATGTTTGAGCTGCTTGATTACCACAAACTTTAACTCTTGCTGGTGCTACAGATCCTAAAATATTATATGATTGGTCAACATTATAACAATTTCATTCTTGATTTTAATTTTTTTTTACTTTTCTTTACCTAAATCCATTATAACAGGTATATCTTGATCATTCAAGACTATATTTGCAGTCTTTAGATCCCTATGTGCAAGAGGATTTGGCTTTGCCTCGTGAAAAGCTTTTACACCCTCGCATATTTGTAAAAAGATATTTAAAATATCTATGGGATTCATATAATCATTATTTTTGGCTCGTCTTTCTAATTCGTGTGCTAGTGTACCTCTCTGTGGATAAGTTAAAGAAATAATAACTTATAATAAATATATAGTGATATATTTTTAATAAATAATATAAACTCACATAATAATAAGGTAGTACAAGTAGTACTTCACTAGTTGCATTTACAACTGGATCTGCTGTTCCTTTGTGTGTGGAATCAATACATTCTATAACATTTGGATGCTTTACAAGACTATGATATTCTATTTCTTTTACTGCTATATGCTGGTCTTCAGGCCCATGACAAACAATCTTTTTAATTGCATATTTTCTATGTGTTATATTATCTTCTACTAAAAGTACTGTACTAAATCCACTGTAATTTAAATACACATTCTAATATATTATTTTTTTTTTAATTCAAGACAAAAAATACTCTTGCCAATCTAATTCTGAAGTTATATATAATTATATTATTTAATTATATCGTATATAAACACAAGAACATATAAAGAAATTATACGTAAAATTTATATTCATGGTGTTGCGGTGCAAAGTGCATACACAAAAGACTTAAATTTAAGCAATAACAAATTTTTAAATATTTTAACTTGCCCTTCTCCCAGATGTTCGCGAACTGTATACTTTTTCGTATTTACAGTAATAGTTTCCTTGGCGCAAAGACATCCCATTTTCAGAATTAAACTCAGGCCAAGATTGTTCATTTTTAATGATACATAAAAATAGAGGAAACAAATTATTCACTCGGTACATATTCCCTTTTCATTAATATGTAAATATTGTGACACGCATCATGGAAACTTGCTCCATACGAAGTCAGATAAGGTTAGAACAATTAAAGGGAATCCTTCCAACTCGAGTGTCTGAATTAAAAATTAAAATTAACTTCTAACGAGAAAATGTGTATAACATAATTCTAAGATATAATTTAATATATAAAATTATTTTTAATATTTTATTACATAATTATGTGACTACGTGATTATATATTTTATCAATTGTACACATGTAATACATTACTCTTTTACTAATAATGTTTATATTCTCTACTAGGTAATTCTCTAGTTTAGTAAGTTTATCTACTGATTATTTAGTTATTAACAAATATTCTTCTTTATCTTATTCTATCATAAGAATCTTATATAATTTTAGATAATGGGCTTCTAAACATTTTTTATCTTCGTTGTTAATCTGACATCAGCGCCAACGATAATCTATAGAAGCTCTAAGCGTTGCCAATGAATTAAGTGGATTTTTTCTCGATAAATTAAAGTAATAAATTGATAGAATATGATAATGCCAAACTATCAGATGAAAGATCTGATTATAAAAAATGTTTGTAAGATCTTTGTAACTATCATTATAAACTATCATTATTAACAAGATCTCTTACAAAATTATAGAATTTCCTCTATTTTGTATATATTTAATGTATAATTTTTCACGAACAATATAATATAACGTGTATTGGGTGCGGTATTTAAATACCTAAATGGGAAACCTAAATATTTCTGTTATTTATGGTTTTTTTTTTATGGAAACAATGCTCAGAATAAAGTTATACTATTTCAATGGAGTCATCTGTCAATGGAAAGAATTCTTTCTCAAGTTTATTTATAGATTTCAGTTTGGTTATTTATTTCAGTTATTTTTTTTTTAATAGTACTCTACAATTTTTTTACTATAAAAAAGTATTTATAAAATAAAGTAAATTATATGCACAAGCATATGTATTATTTCATCTGTGAAAAAAAAATATGATAGTAAATATGTAATACATCTTGAATAATTTATCTTCCATCTTCTCTAGTTTTAATAAAAAAAAAAAAAAAACAACTATAGTTGAATAATTAGACATTTTCTTAAAATTCCGCGAACTAATTATACACAACTTAATACTTTTTTATTCAATATGAAGCGCCGCGAATTAATCCATGTAAAAAAAATCGTAAGGTTTCATTTAAAAATAAAATGATCTTAAAATCTTGTAAAAAATGACCTTAAGAAAAATTCTTTCCATTATCAGATGTACCCTTTGAAATGGTGTAACTTTATTCTAAGCATTTTTTCCATAAAATCACAAATAACAGAGTTATTTATGTGTTTCCATTTTATTGCCGCACTCAGTAAAATGAAAATTGTTAAATGTCAATTTGAACAAAATTAAGATATTTTTGATATTGAACAACTTTCTAAATAACAATAAATTTTATCGTGATCTTTTTTACCAACTGTTGAAATGAATGTAACTTTTACCGGCTGTTTTAACTTTTTCGTATTAGTAACAGCTTAACGGCACCAGACAATAAACAGTGTACTTTTGAATGCCGTGATGAATTTCGTGTATTCAACTTCGGTCCAGAAGAATGTGATAGTTCTATGTACTAAGTTATGATTAAAAGAACAAAGCAAGTGGTTACGTTAATGCGATAGAGGTATTCGTAGTGGCAGTGAGTCATTGTGAAAGTGTAAGACCATTGTAACATTTGTTTTTAAATATAATATGGAGGTTCTTGATCCAAGCGTTTCGAGAGATGATTTACCACTTTGCGTTAATGATTGTTTGGAAAAAGGTTTGTTTATAATATTATACAGTTGTTTATTTATATGTATATTTATCTTTGTCCTGGATCTACAAGCACATAATGCCATACAACTATCGTCTTTTATTACTTTGACTTAACGGAAACTTGTTTTATGCTTGATAATATCACATAATCTATTGTCTAACCGCAGAAACTTCAAAACAATAGAAATAATATAGCATTGAAATTGATTTTAAAAATTTATATTGTTATAATTATATTTGTATATAATTATATTATTATGATAAGTTACTATGAGACATCGGAAATATTTATTTTTATTTATACTCCAAAATACATTTATTCATTCAATAATGACTTATTAATAATTAATCATTTCTTTTATATTATGTGTTTCAGTTAACATAGAACAGAATCCATCCGATACAAAGTCATATATAAAAGCACGCTATACTCTAGGTTTCCTAGGTTTTCTAGGCTTTGCTCTTGTATATGCAATGAGAGTGAATTTATCAATCGCAATTGTTTCAATGGTTAATCAAACAGCTATACCTAATGATGATGAAAATACTACTGATGTTTGTTCTAAAGGGAATCCCATAAATGGAACATTTATACCAGTATGTTTGCTTCTTATTATTGCTTCTCATTGATTGTATAATTTTTTGAATATATTAATTTCTTGTTTCTGCATTATAATTCTAATACTTGATGTATCGAATATTTAAATATATTCTTTAACTCAATTAGATTAACATGAAATCACAAACAAATGATAAACTAAAATGATCAAGTTACATGTCCTACTCATGACATTATCAATTTTATTATTCTACTTGTTATCAGTTTTAACATGTATCACTGATATATTACTCACTTTCAGATATACTCTTTATATTCAAATTTCATAAAAGTGCTTTATGTAGTTTGTGTTTTATTAAATTTACTTTTATATCTTTTTGGTAGAGTGCAGGAGAATTCAATTGGGATGAAAAAACTCAAGGTGTTATATTAGGAGCATTTTTTCTTGGCTATGTGGCAACAAATGTTCCAGGAGGTAGAATGGCTGAAAAAGTTGGTGGAAAGTTGGTTTATGGACTAGGAGTTTTCTTGACTGCTGTCTTGACTGTAATCAGTCCCTTTGCAGCATACTGGGGTTTGGTACCATTTCTTATAGTTAGAGTTGCAGAGGGATTTACAGAGGTAAATACTCTTAATGAAAGGTTTATACTGTTTTACTATTATTCACTTTCATATATTTTTAATATAGGGTGTTACTTTTCCTGCAATGCACACTATGCTTGCACAATGGGTTCCACCATTAGAAAGAAGTAAATTTGCTGCAATTGTATATGCAGGTAATGCTATGAACCATTGATATCAATTGATAAACAAATATTTTGTTATTTATCAATTTTTTTATTTCTTAGGTGCAAATTTTGGAACAGTTATATCATTACCTGTAAGTGGATGGCTATGTTCACTGGAACTATGGGGTGGTTGGCCACTTGCATTTTATTTATTTGGAGGATTAGGTATTTTTTGGTACGCATTTTGGCTAATCTTTATTTATGATACACCTGCCCAACATGTAAGAATTGATCCTGATGAGAAAGCATACATTGAAGCTAGCGTTGAAAAAAAACACGAGGTTAGTTAAATGGCAGTATGCATTCATATATAGTTATTAATACAATTAATTTCTTTTTATATTTTTATGAAAATAGACTCATGATCCTGGTGTACCTTGGTTATCAATTTTTACATCTCTACCTATGTGGGCTATAACTGTAACCCAATGTGGACAATCCTGGGCTTTTTACACATTGCTAACAGAATTGCCAACGTATATGGATAAAATTTTACATTTTGATGTGCAACAAGATGCATTTCTCTCAGCATTACCATATCTAAGTTCTTGGTTGGTTGGTTTAGGAATATCGAGTTTTGCGGATGCTCTTCTTGCTCGGCAAATTTTATCTCCTTTGACTTCGTTCAAATTATGGAATACAGTGGCTTCTGCTGGTCCCAGTCTCAGTTTTGTAGGTGCTATTTGGGCTGGATGTGATCGCATGACTGTTTTAATAATGCTTGTTGGATTAAGTTCATTACAAGGTGCAGTTTATGCTGGAAATCAAATGAATCACATTGCACTAGCACCACGATATGCTGGTACTCTTTATGGATTAACCAATGCAGCAGCTAATGCTTGTGGATTTTTGGCACCATATGTCATTGGTAGATTAGTTGAAGGACATGTGAGTACTTCTGTATACAAATATCATTATTATTTATTATAACATATTTAGTTTCTTTGAGTGAATATTGTGTATCTTGTAGACTCAATGTTGTTTTATGTTTTATTTTTGATTTCATAGGAAACTTTAGCACGTTGGCATACAGTTTTTTGGATGGCAGCTGGAATAAATATGATAACTAATTGTTTCTATTTAATTTTTGCATCTTCTAGTGAACAACCATGGAGTAATGGTAATAGTTGATGATGAAATTTTCTTATGTTTCAATATCTAATATAGAGAATAACATATCATTCGATCGAGTTGCTTTTAATATATTTTAATTTATTATGACAAATGAAAGAGATCAGTATGAATTACTCATCAATTTTAAATAGATAAATAACAATTTTTATTCTTTCATTTCACTGCAGTTTCTTTACATCACGCTTTTTATTTAAAAAAAGAAATAGCATTTTTTAAAATAAATTTTTCTAGTAAAACTCTTCTCTTTTAACAAGCCTATATATGTAGGTATGAAGTATTTTTTATACATACTTATTATATCGTAAAATAATAAAAACAAGAAATACTTTTAAATTAAATTATATAGTTGGAATTGAAGATAAATAAAATTGTAGTAATTAATATAAATATATATTAAGCTAAATATTTTTTTATTTATGTATAAAAATATACAAAAAATTAATAATCCGAAAAAGCGATAAATTATAAATCATTTGAATATTTAAGTTGTTTTCTTTTTATTGCCAAACGATATAATATGAGAGAAAACTTATTAAAAGAGGAATTCATTCCGCATGCTTAAGTTAATTATGTGAGCAAATATCTTTTTGTAATAAGTGAATATGTATTTAATATACAGGGTGTTTAGTTAGAATAACTATTCTTAATATCTAGATGTAATAAAGGACTTGTTCTTTTCATAATAAAGTAATGTTCGGACACGCCTTCATATTGAAATAATACGATATGAAAGAAATGAAGATTTAAAATAATCTCAACGTAAAAAGCAACTTTTTTTATTAAATTTTAATGGTTATAAATTAGCGGAATATTACAGAAATAGTATTAAAACAATTATAAAAACTTCAAAATTATGATTTCTTTTGTTGACACACAAAGTATAAACCGTATGATTGAATGACAAATTCTTCGAAATATTTACAGATGGTTACGAAGATTATCAAAAGTAAGAATAATTCTAGCAATTAACTCTTCTTCTCTATTGATGACTCAAAATAAAACTCAAACATTTGCATATTTTTGTTTTATGAAGTGATAAGTAATGTGAGTTCGAATTAAAATAAACAATATTATAATTTTTATTAAGTTATATTCAGTAACATATAAATGCGTGAAACACAAAAATAAAATTCATTTGTAATAAAAATTCGAGCAATAAAAAGCCAATTTTAAAATTAGCAGAAACTAATCTTAAAGTAAAACTCGGACATGTTGCATCGCTGTAAACATACTACATATAAACAAATGCCAATGAAAACAAATGAAGTATTAATCACTTTTTCGTTGAGTATCATTATTGTCGTAATGCAAGTCGTATAAAATGTTTTTCTTTTTTGTGAAATTTTGCTTTAATATCTGAATATGGGCAGACAATTTGGACGAACGTTGTCAGATTCTTGAAAGCTTATTATAAGCTATTTCAAAGATGGTTTATCTGTCCGAAAGATTATAAAAATAGTGAAATAAAGCCACTCTACAATTTATGACGTAGTAAAACGATTTAGATTGAGAAATACTGTCAAAAATTAACCAAATGAAAAATATTCGCAAAATCCGAAGAGCGTTGGATTGTAAGAAAAATAAAAAAAGGATCCAAAATTGAGTGTACCAAAATTAATCATAGAAGTAAAAAGAAATTTTTACTTTTATCTTTTTAAAAGTTGCTTGATCATTATTGAAATACTTTTGTAGTCACCAGACGAATGGAATTGTGCATCTGTGGGTATATTGGGAGGAAAAACTGAAAAATCACATCAACTCTAATTGAAAAGACCGTTGAAAGAGGAATAAGCAAAAATTGATATTTCATATTGTGAAAAATTGGTCTGATTAATGTTAAATCGATTAAAAGGTCTTAAGACAAAGAATTATCAACTATTAGGATAGAATAAAAATAATGTAAAACATACATATATTCATAAGAATTTTCTATTGTTCGAATTTTAATTTGAGACCAACTTCTGTTAATTTTAAGACTTTGGTTTTTTATTATTCAATGCAAATGAATTTTATTTGTTTTTCATGGATTTGTATGTTACTGAATATAGTTTAATAAAAATTGTAATATCATTCATTTTAATTTCTTTATATTACTTATTGCTTTATAAAAAAAATATATGCAAGTGTCCGAGTTTTACTTAGTGTCACTGTAATTCTTTTATAAACAATTTAATATGGCTTTAGATACAAAAGTTAATTTTGGAGAATGATAATATATATATATATATTATATATATATATATTTATATATATATATTATATATAAATATATTTTTATATATATATATATATATATATATATATATATATATATATATATAAAGATTAATGAAGAGTTTCAACTTTTATAATATTAAGTACAGAATTACTTCCGGACACTACTTTATTATAAAAAAGTATTTAATTAGATGCTCTCTATCACATTTCAAAAGTAGGAATAGTTATTTTGAAACATCTTGTATAGACATATTATTCTGTTTCTATTTGAAACGTGTATAGCGCACAGATAGAACAGATGAGACATTCAAAACCAATCATGTATGTAACTTAATAATTACACGTAAATCAATAAGAACCTTTTAAAATCGTGAAAAGAATATTAAAGCATAAGTTGATGTATGTTTAAATATTGCTGACATTTCAATATGTTACATATATATGAAAAAAAGTTTGAATAGATTTGTTAAATGTTTATAGTTCTTCTAACGTTATTACTTTTGTAATTTTTGCTATATTAGTTCAAATACAATGCTTATGCATGCTTATTCCAATGTGATTATATGTGATAATATTGTATAATTGAAATTTCTTTTTATATGAATTTATATTATACATCTTTAGGTTTTATTCTATCTAATTTAGTTTCTATGCTAGTATAATAATCTACATGAGATTAAAATATACCAAATCTGGAAACACATAACAAACTTTAGTTCGATGTATTTCAAAGTTGTAAAAATTTGAGGAAACAAAATTGAAAAATTGATTTCGAATAACAAAAAGAAATTTATATTCTGTTACAGTAAAAATTTGATAATATCGATGATGTTATCTGACATGTAATAAATGAAGTGTATTAGTAACAATGATTATTTACAAATATTTTTCCTTAATACTCCTGATCTTTTGTTTTCTTTAAGGATAGAGTATACTTTACAAACTATATTAGTTTTATATTTTTTAGAGTTTCCATAAGTGTAAAAAACATTATTAAATGCGCAGCATATTGCAAATCCGATAATAAAATATGAAAATCGTATTTTACACATAATTCTTTATGGAGATAGTGTCATTTTATGAATATAGGAGAACTAATAAGAGAAAAGAAATAAATTTGTAACAATATTATTTTGGTCACATATATAAAATTCCCTTATTTTATTGTTCTGCTAGGTTGTATTTAAATCATCTTTTTTTTTGGCAGTAAGTTCGAAAATCATATCTCTCATTCTACTTAGATCTGTTAATTCTGAAGTCATTCTCTGTATATTCTGATCTTTTTCGGCTAAAGTTTGTTCATAAGAATGAGTCAATTTGGTTAATTGTTGAATTTCTTGTTTTAATGCAGATATATCTTTCTGATTAGCTTCTATTTCGTTATTTTTTAATTCTATTATCTGTAAAAAATAAATTATTAATATAATATGTTTAATAATTTAATATGATTCATGAAAAGTTTACATACTTGTTCTTTTTTGTTAATGGAATCTTGCATTTTATATAAAAGTTTGCCTAACTCATGGTTTTTATTAGTCATTTCTGTAGAATTTGCTACTGCAGCTGAATATTCAGTCTCCAATTCTATTACTTTTTTATTTAATGTATCAATTTTATTCATACAGGTTTCCACTTCTTTTACACGTTCTATTAATGTTTTGTTCAATAAGTCGATATTTGCAGATTTTTCAGTTACAATTTTTCTTAATCCGTTAATTTCCTATAAAAAATATTATATATATATATATATATTTTTTTTTTCTCATTATATATAATACAATTGTATTATTTAAATTTATAAAAGAAGTAAGAATTTACTTGTGCTTTAACAGAAAGTATTTTCTTCATTTGATCTTCTGATTCATTAAGTTTTGTTGTTAATGCAACTTTTTCGACTTTTATACCTTCTAAGCATTGTTGAGTATCAAATAACATTTGATGTAAACGACTAGATTCTGCTATTACTTGCGCCAATCGATGTTGCAAACTAGTGGCATGATTATTTGCAGCCTCTAAACTAGACTGCATGGCTCTTTCAGCGTGTCTCATAGCTGCTAACTTTTATGAGTTTACATTACATAACTACAAATTATTTGATCCTGCAGTATACATTCATATCACTGCTTTAGAGTTATTATTAATGTGAATCAAAAAATATCTATGTAATATAGTAAATATAATTAGATTAACAAAACTGTAGAGTAATATTGGCAGGCTGAGCTCTAAAACAGAGATATAAATGTAAATCTTATTTTTTACATTTTATGATACAGGGAAAATGCAAATTTTACTTTGTATTCGTACAGTTCCATCACAGCAGAAGTTGTAATATCTCCTATTTGATTTGACTCAATAGCTGTTTCAAGCTTGCTTATAAAAGTATTAAGACGTTCCTCTTGGCCAAATGAAAATAATGGAGCCATTTCATTCCCATTATAATTAATGCTGGGTTTAATTTCAATTCCTGTTACAGTATTAGCATTGCTTTGTACCAAAACTAAAGGTTCTAGTTGTCTCATACATTGCGCTACTGCAGCAACACTGATTATAAGAAAAATAATATATATGTATAAATTACACACACACACACACGCACGTACAATTAATTTCTACATTCAAATATTTGAATATACAAGTTTCGACCTAACTTACCATTCCTGTGGAAAACCTACAGATGATGTTAATTGTAGAACTTTTTGCTTAATTTCTCCATCACCCGTAAATAATGCTAATGCCATTATCATTTGTATTTGTTTTTTTCGAAGTAATTCAGAATATAATGTCAACCAGTTTGAATTATTAGCTGCCAAATCTGCTGTTAAAACTAAGGCATGTATATAAAGATTTGTTGTTGAATTCTATAAGAATTTAAACAAGTGTCATTTATACTTGTAAGCAATTCTTGGCATGCTTCAAATAGAGTTGAATTTTAATTATAATGAAAACTTGCAATGTTACTGTACTTGAATAAGATTTCCAGGCCAGTCCCTATTTGCAGTTTCTTCATATTCCAATATTGGTTTTAACAACTTTCGCATTGCTTGTTCACTAAATGTCTTTAGCACCTTTGATCGAAGTCCTGAAATTTTCACCATTTCTTGGAATAATTGCATCAATTCAGCAAGTCTTTCTTGTGCCTCAATATTATGCAGTTCATTTTTTTCTTGTATTTCATCATCCTTTGTGCTAGTTATAAGCATAAGCACAGATGGATCTAGTTCTGTAAGAACTTCTGTAGAAACCTTAGTACGGCGTGATTCAATCACAATTATCCTAATGAGTGCTAGTGCCTTAGAACATACCTAATGGTAACAGAAAAAAGAAATTTATGCTAATTGAAGTTCTACTTAAATAAAGAAAAGATACTGACTTGTTCTACAGGTACCCATGTCATAGCTGATTTTACACATGCTGGGTATAATGGAATCAAAGCAATCACTTTTAATTTTACTAATGATAGTAAAAATTCCATTAAAAGTGCAACACAATCTGGATCAGAATTAGATTCTAAAGTAGCCAATAATCGTTCTACATCTTTACTATAACTAATAACAAAAAGAAAAATCAATAAGAAATACAACATTTATTAGAGCATTTTTCTTGTAATACTTACTTTGCATATGTAAGCAGTATAGTTCGTGAATGTTCGTTTTGACCAACATCATCAAAGAAATCAATAATATGTCTTAACAATAATACATCTTTTTTTTGAAGAGCATTGATTAAACTTGTAAATGTAACAGCAGCAAAGTCCAATATATGTTTTTCTGAGATATTTGTATTAGTATGTTCCAATATAATCAAAAGTTTACAACACGGAACGCTTGTACTAACATTATTGCTTTGAATTTTTAGTAACGTTCGTATAAATGTTTTAGTATCAATGGTACGCATTAATGTATAAACTGCTGCAAGATTTTTGTAACAAAGATTTACAAGTACGCCTAATGAAAGGGCAACAATTTCTTCTTCTTTTACTTGCATTACCCATTGTGTTAAAATGGATATTAAATACGGTAAATGTGCTTCTTGCCAAGAAATTTTTACACCATAAGTTAATTCCTGTAGAAGTTTCAAAACACGTATTCTCTTCTCGCTTGTCAAGTTGGCCTAAAAAGTGTGTTAAAATATAATAAAATAAAAGTTCGTTATACGTCTATATTTCTAATGTTTACCTCCAATAATCGTGCTAATATAGGAGCAAATTTATAAGTATGGATAAGAGCTTGTCTGGCATTCGTATTTCGACAAGCATTCTGTAGAACATCTACAGTACTCCAAATTAATGTTGTTCTAGATCCTAAAGAATTCATAAGCTCGTGTAAGCTGACATAAAATTCAGCTGCTATGGAAGTTGTAGGATCAAAAATGCTGAGATCCAATGATACGCTTATGACCTTAGGAATACATACAAATTTCTTTTAATCGAGTGTTTGATATATACAAATAAATTAAATTAATAGAAAAAGTATAGCAAATAAAATTGAATTACAATCACAACCTTACCCCAAGATTTCTTTGTATAGCAGATATGGTAGTTTCACTGGGATGTTTTGCATATTCCGATGCAGCTGATATAAATGCTCTCATATACTGATATTTCTCCATAATAACCATTCATTAAAAAATATAATAAAAAAGAAAGAATCTTATGCACTCATGTATTTTTAGTTTACGATACAAATAGTGATCATGCAATAGAAAAAGGAAACATTTTCTTTTATAAAATCTATTCGTCTTAGGCCTTTCAAAAGTAAGGATAATTTGTAAATATAATAAATTATTTTCCTAATAAATAATTCGTTCTTTATATAAACAAATGGAGATAAAAAATGGAAATACAGCATGCTATAACGGAAAAACTACATTTAGCGTCCATTTCTAAAGACCCCCGCATATTCAAAACCAATCAGAGCGTCGCTAAGGCGGCGAGCTTCATAAAACGAAATATACCAATTCTATTATAGAACGAAGATAGTGCATTTGAAGGAGAAAAAACGAAATGAAGAATTATGAACTTATATATAAAGTTTTTTCCATTTAATAATGTTAAACACAATAATAGCTAGTACATTATATTATACATAATATTATAATTAAAATTTAAAAGTATAATGTATCATATTATTATAAATAAAATGCAACTATCGACGAATGAGAAAGATGGCGCTCTTAACAGGATGGTAGTTCTTGCATTTTTCTATTCAATGTTCCACATAATCATTCGCGCGCATTTTTCATATTTTTGTAGTTTGTTTTTTTTTGGGTTATTCATTCTTTTCTGCATTTTTCTTTTTCTCAAGTTTTGTTGTAAATATGATATAGAAAGTAGAAAAAAAGTAGAAGATGATTCATAATCATCAAGTAAATGTTCATAATTGTTCATATCGTTTAAAAACGATAGCAAACATTTCTATTGTTCTTTTGCAATAATATAGTCCAATCATGGCGAATTTTCTATTATACATATCAGAGAATTTCATCGAGTAAAAGACAATCGTAAAACTTTTGAAATTAAATATCGATTTATAAGTTGGTTAAAGTAAAATACAATGATGTTCCAATTATAAAATGTTTTCTATTATCAATAAGTTTCTTGGTAAATCTAATTTTAATGATAATCGCATAGTTTAAGAATTAATCCAATTTATATTTTTAAATTATTTAATTATCGTTTATTTTATAATAAAATATTTATATAGACAGCTGACTCCACGTTACAAATATTTCGAATACATTGTCATTCGATCATTCTAAAATATTTTTTCTTAACTATTTTACAAATAATGTTTGCATTTTAGATAATAAATATCTTGTAAATTGTACTATTTTAAAACAGTTGTATAATATATTCTTTGAAAAAACATATAATATATTCTTTGAAAATATAAGTCAGCGTGGTTTATTCAGCGATGAGTTCATACTTAGATTATCTTAATAACGATTAACCTTGAATAACTAATATATAATTTATTAAGATAAGAAACAAAGATGAACTACTAGTAAGTGCATTATAAAGTTCTATTAAGCAAATCATCGTTTATTACGTTTTATGCATCTGTCATCTTTTGTTTCTACGTAGACACGTGTTTTTGCAGTGTAGACATTCGTGATATATACAGTCAAATTCTCTTGTATGCTTAATAGTCACATATAGAAACTCTATATATACGAGAGTAGTTAGAAGAAGAAAGATATGTTGTTGAATGAATAAAAATAATTTGAAACGTTCCAAATGTTATTTAACGTTTCATATATTTTCGTCTATGTACATTGCCAATATTCACATATATCTAATATAGAATATTATATTATTATATAGATATATATACTCTTGGAGCATTGACTGTTTCCTGCCTACTCGAGAAAGCAAACCAACGTTCTCCCTCTTCCCCTCGCTACAGCATCAATCCATGAGAGTTCGGAGCCTTCCCTTTCTCCCCACTATTTCTCAGCAGACGTGAAGTGGTGGCAGCAGCAGCGTCGAGTCGAGCGACGCCGTTCACCGGTTCACATTCTTCGGTCGTCTACGGTCGAAGGAAGTACGCGGCCTTTGTTTGCACTTGCATTACGTACGTTTACGATCGACGCGCATCTACAAGCCCTGCTGCTGTCGTTTTCGGTACGTAAGTTTTCACGTTTTCGACGTGATTCTTCGAGAAAATCCAAAAAAAGTTTCAAGTAATTTTCTCTGACTATCTTACTCCGATACATTTCCATACTTTGATGAGGGAGAAAAAAAGAAAAAAAGAGAAAAAAAAGATCGAGAAATAAGAAAAAAGAAAGAGAGAGTGAGAGTATCCTTTAAGGATAATCTCATCCTTCTCTCCTGTGGGTGTGTGCGCGTGCACGTGATCGTCCATCGTGGACGTTCATCCGCGAGTGATCACCGTGCGAAAATCATCGAATCGTGACGATCGTACTAGCCTTTGCTTGGACTCGACTGGTTTCTGCAGTTTGTCGATAAAAATATAGAACCTCTCTTAACAGCATCTTCCTCGAGTACTCGAAGAAACCAAGAGGCATGACGTCCGTCTTCCATGACTGTCTTTTCTCTCTTATATGATCTTTTCTTCGGCTAAAGAAAAGATGTTAAAATTTTCTTAAATCATTTGTTCAGAATTTTATCGCCACGAGTATACTCGCTATGCTTTGCGCGTTGCCTTGGTTACCACGAAGAGCAACTCCCCTTCAACGATCTTTTTCCTTTTCTTTCTCCTCTCCTTTTCTCTTTTCGTCTCTTTTATACCATCTCTTACTCCAGATTTTCTCTGGCTCACTTAGTTTTTTTTTTCTCCGTGAGCAAGAAAGGATCGTTAGAGAGACGACTACGATCTTGCAGCATGACAAAGCCACGCTTTTTACCGTCAACGTGTTCGTCCCGCCTGGCTTGCCACGCGTTTCTTTCATGACGACAGATCGTGTCAATGACGCGAGGGCAGTGACATCATCTTAGCTAGGACGAGATCGTCATCGTCATCGTCATTGCCATCGTCATTATCATCGTCTTTATTTAATCACGTATCGTGTAAATCCTGACTGCGGCATCCGTCAAATATTTCATTTTTCTTTTTCTCACCAGATCGATGTCCTTTCTTTTAGATTTTATTTATAATCGAGCGAACTTTAGATAACGAGGATGGAGAGAAGCTGTGGCCAAACGAGTAAACTGTCTCGTTGGAGCAAATACCATCAAGTATGGCGTACGGTCGCATGAAGGGTAGCTCAGTTCGCTCCGCACCCTGCGATCAATAAACCCAGCAAGAGAGGGAGCAGCTTTCTCTCCTCCGTGTACTTCTCTCCCCCTCATTCTTCTTCCTCTGCGGGGTTGTACTCGTCTTTTGCCTCATCCTCTTTACCACCCCCTCTTTATCTGACTTGTCACTCCTCTCTTCGTTTCTACAACCGCCATCGCTGTCCAACGGCAACCCTTTCAGCTATCAGAGATTCAGCACGTGCACGATGCGAGACCGAGCCTTTCAAAAAGCGTTAGACGTTTTGTTCGTCTTTAGCGATGATTTTAGGATTAGCGAATCGAAATTGAATCGAGAGAGTGGATTCAGGTACAACGTGAATGAAACGTTGACAATATGTGAATAAGATCTTTAGAAAGATTTTTTATACATAAAGTTGGTAAAAAAGTTTTAGATTGATTTTTCGTCGAATTTTGTAGACGAATTTTATATTTTATAGGCACCATCGATTATTTGTTATTTGTTTATATATATATATATGCAGTTTTTTACGCTATGTTAAATATAGTTTGGAATGCATATTTGATAAAGATATTGGTCGTATATAAGAGTAGGAGTATATGTAAATTTGCAAAGTACGACCGATCATTAAAGATGATTAATTTGTATTTTAGACTATACTTTTATCTCATAAATAAGAGTACGATAAGAGATGTTTATCTTACGTGTTTCTGTGCATGCTTATACATATTTACAATTGATTTAAATTATTTTAATTGCGTTTTTTAATCGTCCAATCCGTAATTTGAATGATTTCGGTTTAATTTAGACGTATCTTCGCGATCGATAATAACAGAGCATCTTAAATCATGGAAGTTTTACGTCGAAATCGAGAGTATATGAAACTGTCCAGTTCAGACGGATGGTGCGATTGTCACGAAAAAATCGAAAGAAAGGTGTCAAATCGTTTGAGACATGTGTTTTGTGTATGATATAGGTGAAAATCAGTGCGATCAGGATGTGGCGTGAACCTCCAGGAGGGGGGTGTAAAGCACCTACCTACATCTTCGCTATGATTCTACTGGCTCTACTGGCATTGACGAATGGTAAATTAATTCTTTATAATTTCATTCGAATCATGTAATTATTTTAAATATCTATTGTTATGTCTTTGAAATTGACGATCAACGACATTTGATATTAATATGATCTTTTTGTGATCACGATTCCTAAGATGTCAAATTACTTTATGTAATTTCTATTATATTCTGCTCTTCTTTTAGTGCTATTTTAACAATAAGCTAAAA